CTCTGTATGATTATTCTGTTATCGGAAATTCTTGGGGGGTCTCATCTTTCTGTTTTTTGTGTCTGACAACTCTTGGATTATCTTCTCATGTGTTTTGTCATTTTGGATTGGAAGCTCAGCTTGTGTTTGTGTGTGTTGGGAGGGGTGAGGAGGGTATGCAGGGTGTGGTGGGGAGGAGTGGTGCGTGTTTGGGTGTGCTCTGAGTGCGTGTATGCTGTGTGTGTGTGTGTGCGCGCGCGCGTGCACATGCATGTGCCCCCTGGGTGCCTGGGTTGAGGGTGTGGCCGCCCAGCTGGGCTTTGTGTAGGCTCCTGCCGGCTGCTCCAGGTATCACAGCCAGGGATCAGGTTTTTGACAATTTCCTGGCTTGGGAGTTTTCAAACCATGCAGGTAGTTCACATATGAACTAAAAGCTATGGAGGACAGGCCTGTGCTCATGAATTCTGAGGGGATGTTTTTGATTTCCACCCAGAGCTCAGGCAGGCTTCCTGGTTGTCTCTGTTGTTGCTGGTGAATTTATTTCAAGTCCACCCTTTCATGTGGGTGCATCAGGCACACGTCCCGACTTTATATATAGTGGGGGCTCAGTTCCAGCCCCCCACCTCTTATGTCCCCAAGCCCTTGTTCCTGTCCCCACGTGGCCATCACAACCAAGGCTTCTAGGCTGCCAAGACCAGCAGCTCCGTCCTCCTTTCTGGCCTCATTTTTCTTCCTGTCTTATGAACGTGGGTCTGCTTGTTGTATTTTACGCAGCACCCCTGAGTGTTGGAGATGGGAGGGTCTCTGGTGTACTGCTTCATCATCTGGTGTATTGAGGTTCCGGAGGGGCTGACTCGACTGGTAGCCTGTGGCAAAATTTGGCCACATCCTTGGGTCAGCCAGTAGTTAGCCCTGTCCAGTGATGAGCCAGCTGGACCCCTTGTCTGGTNCCTTGGGTCAGCCAGTAGTTAGCCCTGTCCAGTGATGAGCCAGCTGGACCCCTTGTCTGGTCACAGTTGGCCATGCTTTCCCCAGGCATATAGAGGAGTCTTTGTGAAGTGTCCTTTGTGGCTGCCTCAGTGTGTGAGCCTCAGTGTGCAGGATGTCAGGTCAGTCTCTGCCACAGCCTGTTCTCGTGGCCTGTTCTTGCCCCCGGTCATCCCAGCTGTGGGGGAGCCTTGCGTGGCCTCTGTGTCGAGCATGTGGCCCCAGTTTGCAGCATCCACTCCTCAGTCCTCACCCCCTGAAGATCAGAAATGTGTCAGACTCACATCTATCCACAGACCCCTGAGCCACCACACTTGGGTGCTTGTGTGTGTCCACAGCCCAGTCCCAAAGTCCACAGGAGACATGGGCCCATTATGGACACCTGTTATTGCCACCAAAGCACCAGTGTGTCCTCAAGTCATGTTAGAAAAGATGATTTAAAACGAAATTAGGTGCTGAAGTCCCGTGTGAAGAACTTCATACCCTTTTAGGATAGAGTGAATTTGCAGCACACGGTATTTCTCCTCCTCTTTCAACTCTTCCTTATGGTGTGTGGGACTATTGATGTGGCTGGCAAAAGTGACCAGTGTCAGGCTGTGATATGCGAGTGAACACTGGGCAGCCTTTCCTTAGTTTGGTGCTTCTGTAAGCTCTGCCTTTTCTTACCCAGCAGCCGAGGCGTACGAAGATGGCTGTCTCTACTGAGAGGACTGTGCGGTGGGCAGACTTGCCGCAGGCGGGGAACCGAGCCCACCCCCGCTGCCTCCCCTTTCTGGTAGAATGTGCTTGTTCGTCTGCACATGCGGAGGGCCCAGCCGTCCCCCTGTCTGTCCTTAAAGCCAGCTAGTCCTCGAGCCCACCCCCGCTGCCTCCCCTTTCTGGTAGAATGTGCTTGTTCGTCTGCACATGCGGATGGCCCAGCCGTCCCCCTGTCTGTCCTTAAAGCCAGCTAGTCCGGTACAGTCTTCATGTCACCTGCCCCAACAGAGGTCCACGGCGCCCAGCACCTCGAGAATGACTGTGTGACCTTGGGACAGTGCCACATCTCTCATAGCTCAGAGAGTACCACAGCTCCATGGCATGGCTCGGGCTTCTTCTCAGGCTATACTGGAGTTCTGCTTGTCTAGGGAGGGAGCCAAGGATGTGTGCAGCTGGTTGCTGAGGCTCCCATCCAGGGCTTCGCCCGGGAGGGCACTGGCCTCTGCCCGCCTTGGAAGGAACGTGCCTGGGCTGTGGTCCTACTGGGCACTGCAACTTGGGTCTCACTGGCCCTGTAGCCTCTTGGGACTGAGGCAGAAGCTGGTGGCAGCTGCCTTACTGCTCCCATCCTGACTATGGGCGCGGCTGAGGAGGGGAGCACGTGCCTTTCTGCGCCTGCCACACGGTTCCTAAAATTCTTTGTGTTGAGGAAATATTTCACTCGCGGATACCTAATTATCCTGTGGGGTTTGTAAGGCAGGTCTGAAAGCCGATTGAATACAGCAGAACTGTTCCTGCATGACAGCTACTTCATACGCAATCATAACAATTATATATAATTTGTGTTTACACTGCCTGGAAGATTGAACTCCTCACACAGACATTCTCTAAAACAGGCTTAGGGCGTGCAGGGCAGGACCGCCCTTGGGCGTGCACATGAGAGCAGCCTTCAGTGTTCTGAGGATGGCTGTCCTGGTGGTGGCAAGGGTGGTGAGGGCCACCTGGGCCTGCTTCTCAGCCAGGGCCATCAGAGGGCTGGGCTGAGCTGGGGCAGGGTAGGGAAGCTATCGCCTGGGCCTCAGGGAGGGGGTAAGGGCAGCTCCCCACCGTTGTCCCCTCACAGCTGGGTTCAGCAGAGGCACATACCTGGTGTGCCTGGAAGCCCAGGGCAGAACCTGGGGAGTAGCTCAGTCCCGCTCAGCTCAGAGTCCCATGCAGAAATGAGTCCCCATGGTCCTGGAGCATGTGGTGGGGGAGGGGCGGGGTCCTAACTGCTGCAGAGTTCTGGGCAGCATGGCCTCCTCAGCACTCAGTGTTGCTGGTGTGGTGTTGATGTGGCCGGTCAAGTCCACCAGCCCCTGCAGCCATCTCCAGGATCTACCCCAGGGGAGCAAGGTGGAGAGACAGCCTGCTGCCTCTTGTAGACCGTAGACACTGGCTCGTCCCCACTGCCGGGCCTTGGCCAAGGCTGGGTCATCCATCCTCTGACCTGTGCGTCATATTGCCCAGCTTGCAGGGCTCTGCTGACGTTCTGCTCTCCTCGAGGCCTCCCCTGGCACTGCTCTGGGCTCAGCCTGGGGGCAGGGGGTCTTGTCTTTCCCTCCAGTCCTTGCTCCTGCCCCCGCTGCTCAGGGTAGGAACCTGTGCAGGGGCCCAGCCGTTTCGTTGCTTGTCCCGTGTAGGACGAAGCAGGGCCTGTCCCCAGACCCTGCATCTCTCCACCCCGTCCATAGGAGAGCCTGCACCTCGCCCCTGCCTGCCCAGCGGCTCCTGCTCCCCTTGTCCTGGGTGAGCACAGGACAGTGCTTGGGCTGAAGTGGTCTTGTGGTCCTCCCTGGCCATGTGTCCAATGCCCCCTGGTGGGCTAGGTCATGGCCACTGGACACAGAGTCACAGGGAGACTCCCTCCAGCCCTGCAGAAACACGTGTGGGCTGTCCTGACGAGCCTGGGAGGCGGGGCAGCCCCATAGTGGAGGCTAGCAAGCTTCTCTGGCAAGTGGCTGGGTCTGCTGGACCCCCAGCCTCCTCCCTTGCTCTACACCAACCTCTGTGGCCTGTGGTTGACCCTGGGCCCCAGGCGACAAGCCTCGCAGACTCACGCTGGGGAGCTCGGGCCTTCTTAGGCTACTCAGCAAAGCCAGGTGTGGGCTGAGAATTTGTATTTGGGGCACATAGGGCTGGGGTGGGAGGCGCGCACACTCCGGTGACTCCACCCTGACCTGTCTCTCTCCCCTCAGTTTCTTCGAGCACTACTGCTATTCCCGGGGCGGCATGCGCCACAGCTCCTACACCTGCGTCTGCTGCAGGTAAGCGGGGCGTCCTGGGTCATGTAGAAGTGACCATGGGAGGGTAGGCACTGAGTGAGTGAGGGGCTCCATCTCTCCCCAGCTTAGATGCACTTGCTTGCCCACACATGTACACCAGTGCCCGCAACCCAAGCTTGGTAGTCACTTTCCCTTTCTGAGGCTCTGGGAGCTGAGGTCGCCTCTGCCTGCAGAGCTTGGTGCTAGGTGGAGGAGAATCCTGGCCCACCCACTGCACTGCAGAGGGGCTGCCCGATGCTCCGCCCTCTGTCCCCAGCTGGTGGGCATAACAGCTTAGCACAGGAAGGCCACTCCTTCTGAGGCCACTGCTGGCCTTCCTCACCCCTCTGCATGGACACACACAGCATGCAGGGACTGGGCTGGCCATGAGCTCAGGCTGGGCAGCTTCTGTGCACATCTGGGGTGGGCGTGGAAGCAGCTCTGTTGGTGCAGGAGGCAGCGGCTGTGTGTCTGGCACTGTCGATCTGACTGTGTGGGGACCATCACGGCTGTGGGTGGGTATCACTCGAGGTGTGTCCACATGAGTTACATTGTGGCTGGAGGGCTCTGTTTGTGTGTCTGTGTGTGTCCTCTGTGCATGGCTAGGTGTGCGTGGAGGCGCACACATGGTAGAAATGACCACAAACACGGGCAGCTCATGGCCATGAGTATGCATTACTATCATCTCTGGGGGTGTACACAGCTGTGTGGCTGCATGTGTCCCTGTAGATGTGTCAGCACCACACATATCCTGGCTGTGGGTGGCCCCCTCATCTCCTGGACTCACCCCTGCTATTCTCCCCTGCTCAGCCAGGGCTCTGGCCCTTGGGTCTGGCCCCTGCCCAGCCAGGCTGGAGCCGGGAACTCTGTGGATGTGCGCATCCTCAGCACATGAATAATACATATGAGCATCTCAGTCCTTGGAAATGTTCTTCTCTGGTGGATAGAGAGAAAAATCATTATTTCTACTTTTATGATTCCTGAGGCTCCCGAACGAGGCCGTAAATATTACACCCAGGTGTTTTTTGTTTTTTGTTTTTTTTCCTTTGGACAGACTTAAAAGTTCTTTTTTCCTTAAAGGCATCGATGATTCCTGAGGCTCCCGAACGAGGCCGTAAATATTACACCCAGGTGTTTTTTGTTTTTTGGTTTTTTTTCCTTTGGACAGACTTAAAAGTTCTTTTTTCCTTAAAGGCATCGCTTATTAGGGAAGCTCTCTAGCTCTTCTTTGCAGCCCAGCCAGGACTCTGGTGTGGCTCCTGAGATAGTCGGGGCCCTTCTCATTGAGCCCCTCTCTCTTTAGCCACCAGGAAAGGAGAGCTTCCTTGAGTCCCTTCCCCAGGACACGAATTCGGGCTCTCCATTTCTGTTCTTTACACGTGCTGCCCATACCATGCCCACATCCCCAGCCCAGAGTAGCTACCTGAGCAGCACTCACAGCCAGGAAGCCCTGCAGGCGGCACTGCCATCAACCAAGAGGCTGGCCGCCAGCCATATGGCTGCAGGGAGCCAGGGCTGCCAGGTCTCCCCCCCCCGCCAGCCTCAGGCTTAGACCTGGTTCAGCTGCCCCTGGGCCTCTGCTGGAGAGTGGACAGTACTGCCCGAGGGGCAGGGGATGGGGCACCAGCCCCCAGGCCTGCTGGGTGAGGATGGGCAATTGACCACTGTCCCCTGGTTCTTTGCAGTGGCGAGAACGCAGCCATACTACACTATGGACACGCTGCGGCACCCAACGACCGTACGATCCAGGATGGAGACATGTGGTGAGTGAGGCTGACCCCTGGTGCTGTCCCGGCCCTGCCTCTGCATGTAAATAGCCAAGCCAAGGCGGGACTCAACCTCAAGGTCAACCCGGGGTCTCTGGGTTCTTGTCCTGAGAAGGCTGAACAGCAGGGTCCCCAGGCCAGCTCTTGGCTCAGACTTCTCTGCCCAGGCCATCGGCCTGCGTGGTACCTTCTCCAGGACCAAAAGTCCACAAGGGAGCATAGACAGGAGTGCAAGACAGGGGCCCCTGTGGCTTCCATGGGGTCATGGGATGGTGGCTCTCTATGAAGGTCCTGGAATGCCCAGACTGTCCTCTCCAATCAGTAGGCACCACATGCACATCTCTGTGTCTCAGTGCAGAAGGGTGGAGCCCCTCAGTTTGGAGCAGGGAAAACCCTAGGGAGCGTCCTATGCTCTGAAGCCTGCCAGCCTCAGCCACAGAACCCCTTGGTGTATGCAGCTACTCGCAAGTCAGAGGTGGCGCTTGACCCCCAGGCTGGCTGCAAGGCTTTCCTGAGCAACTTTGCTGTGCTCACAGCTCCTCGCAGAGACCATGACACTGCAGATGTGGGCAGGTCCTGCGGCCCCCACCCATCTGAGAGCCCCCCTCCTTTTGGAGGGGTTGTGATCCTGCTCACAGACCCCTGGCATGTAGGGCAGAACACGCTGGGCCACTGACCCAAGGTTTGGGGAGTGGTCTGTGAGCGCCTGCAGACCCGCCCCCACCCATCTGAGAGCCCCCCTCCTTTTGGAGGGGTTGTGATCCTGCTCACAGACCCCCGGCATGTAGGGCAGAACACGCTGGGCCACTGACCCAAGGTTTGGGGAGTGGTCTGTGAGCGCCTGCAGACCTGAATCCTCACTCAGTCACTAGGAGCTTCTGCCTGTCCTTTCTGCCATCCAGATGTTGGCCAGGGCCAGCCTTGGCACTGCTGGGCTACTGAGAGCCACCCAGATGATGGTGCTGCCCTGGGGCTAGGCCACAAGCCATGTGGGGCTGCCCTGTCTTGGACTTCAGACACTTGCTGTGGTCACTGACCAGCAGATGGGGGTGCCCTGTCATGCCTGGCTGTTTGGCACCTTTTCGTCTATTGCTGATGCTCCTGAACAAGGCTCCCTCAGAGCCCCATGGTGGTGCGGCTTCCTCTCAGGTTGGTGCAGTGCCTGGAGGGGCTCAGCTCACTTCTGCCTCAGCTGCCCTGATGTGCACACTCCCAGAGTGGCAATGGCTGCTGGACCTGGCCTCCCCCGGGTGGGACTCGCCTTGCAGCAGGGAGCAGCAGGAGCCTGCACCCACGTCCACTGGGGGCGTGAGTTCACACGTGCAGACCTACAGCACGACCAGATGCCCAGAGAGATGCTGTGTTCTGAGCTGTTGCTGCCAAGTGTTTGCAGGAACCATTCAATACCAGGGTCCTCCCTGTCCGCAGGACACACTGGTACCATGACTGGCCACAGTCGCTCTGCCTACCCAGTGTCAGTAGCTGCAGGGGTTGTTCTGGCTCAGGACACTGTTGACAAGAGCCCAGCTCAGCCTTCTGGAAGAAACTAAGCCCCTCACATCCCCCTCTGAGCCTCAGTTTATTCATGTGTGAGTAGAAACAGCACACGCATGTCAGGATGACACGTGGCAGTAGAAGGGATGTGTCAGGAGCACAAGTGCTGAGCCAGTGTACCCTCTCTCCAGGGGCCTGCGCCAGCAGCTCAGGGGCAGGAGCCTGCAGGGGGTGATGCCTGAAATGGCCACAGAGTCAGGCCAGTAGCACTGCCACTCACCACCCCCCAATCCCCCTCCCAGACCATGAGCTGAGCTTCAGCCTTTCCCTCCCCAGCTGGCCTGACCACACTGACCCACCAAACCTGTTTCACCCCCGGCTGCAGTGAGCCCCACAAACCATGGGCTGGCGTCTGCAGGGCTGTGCTGTGCTGCCTCTGGGCAGTAGCTTGTCAGGCAGTGGCTGGGCCCTGCCATGCCCAGGCCTGGAAGGGTCAGAACAGAGCTCAGTTACCCTCCTAGAGGCCTGGGCGCCAAGGCCATGCAGCAACATTGACAGGGCCCTCCCATCTGTGTGTGTCTGTCACCCTCGTCCTTATCCCTGCCATGCCCAGGCCTGGAAGGGTCAGAACAGAGCTCAGTTACCCTCCTAGAGGCCTGGGCACCAAGGCCATGCAGCAACATTGACAGGGCCCTCCCATCTGTGTGTGTCTGTCACCCTCGTCCTTATCTCGTGAGATTGGTGCCTTGCTCCCAGTGTTTGGGCAGGGTGACTGAGACACAGGAGGGTACTAGGCTCAGGTGTGGAGCCAAAGGGATTTGGAGAGGAGGTTGGCTACCTCGGACTCAGCTTGATTGGAGACTAGGGAAAGACAGGGCAGGAGCCCTGCTGCCTGCCGTGACCAAGCCCCAGGTAGCCCCAGGGAGAGACCACCTGGCCTTTTCAGGAACTCCCACCTTGTGAAACGATTTCTAAAGCTCTTTGACCCTGTGGCCCATCCTGACTGAGTCAGGACGACAGGCCCCAGGAGCCCATTCCCAGGGCAGAGGCAGAGACCCAGCCACACTAGCGGGACCCTGCTGTCCTGGGGGCAGCTCAGACCAGCTGGACGGCCCTGCGCCAGAGCCACGTGGCCTTGCGTTTCTTCCTCCGTGAGCTCTGCACACCCCAGAGGAAGGGGATGCTTCTCCACTCTCCTCTTTATCTGCCTTAAAGACGGTCCTCACCCCATGAGAGGCCAGTCCCAGCTGTATTCCTGGGGTTGCCCCTGACAGGGTGAGTCCAGGCCAGGGCACTGCACACATCAGTCCTCCCCGCAGCCCAATGCAATGGCCTCAGCCCTCCTGGGCAGCATGCAGCACGTGCGTCTCCCAGGCGCAGCTGTACAGCAGGAGTGATCCAGCGAAGCTCACGGATGTTAATGCCAAGCCCAAATTGGTGATTTTATTTTTCTAGTGCTAACTTTGAAATGTAGCCAGTGGAATAATTATGAGTTTATTATAGTCAATTTATTATGCAGCATTTAGAACAACATGTTTTGTTGATTACTGCTACTGCCAGATTGCTGGCAGCATTTATAATCCATTGTTTTATTGAAATTGATCTGCCAAGCGCCTACTGCATTCGGTAAATAATAAATCACTCTGTTATCCCAACATAAAGGCACAATACTTTATCACAAGGTGTGAAAACAAAATAGGAACATAGTGCAGAATTTTTCCTGAAACCGAGAGCCCCCCAGCACAGTGTGTGTATTTCAGGCTCTGGGTCCCGGTTCTTTGACACTGGGTAAAAATGCCCCAGAGATATTTTAACATTTAGCGATGAGGCTGTTTGGGAAGCGAGAGGTGATCCAGAGCAATCAGACTATCCTGGGCGCGGCGAGGAGCGATCCCGTCCCTCTCTCCACAGGCCCAGGTATGGGCACCCCTCTGAGCTTCAGTCTTTCCATCCATCGCTGGGGGGTAACGTAACACCCAGCTTGGGGCAGGCTTCAGGGATCATCAGTGCACCACGCAGGCCCTCAGCAGGTGAGACCAGCAGCAATTGTGGCCGTCCCCAGAGCCAGGCAGGCCAGGCCACCTCCTGCTTGAGTTCTGGGCCCCTGGAGCCAACCTCCCAACAGCTGGTTCTGTGGCAGAGGCTAAAGGTGAGAGCCACAGAGAGCACCAGCCAGGCCTGGTTTGTTTGCAGCCAGCTCCTGAGTCACATGACCTTCCTGTTCTGTGTTTTCAGCCCCCAAATTGTCCTCTGTGACGTGCGNATCTCCTGGACTCACCCCTGCTATTCTCCCCTGCTCAGCCAGGGCTCTGGCCCTTGGGTCTGGCCCCTGCCCAGCCAGGCTGGAGCCGGGAACTCTGTGGATGTGCGCATCCTCAGCACATGAATAATACATATGAGCATCTCAGTCCTTGGAAATGTTCTTCTCTGGTGGATAGAGAGAAAAATCATTATTTCTACTTTTATGATTCCTGAGGCTCCCGAACGAGGCCGTAAATATTACACCCAGGTGTTTTTTGTTTTTTGTTTTTTTTCCTTTGGACAGACTTAAAAGTTCTTTTTTCCTTAAAGGCATCGCTTATTAGGGAAGCTCTCTAGCTCTTCTTTGCAGCCCAGCCAGGACTCTGGTGTGGCTCCTGAGATAGTCGGGGCCCTTCTCATTGAGCCCCTCTCTCTTTAGCCACCAGGAAAGGAGAGCTTCCTTGAGTCCCTTCCCCAGGACACGAATTCGGGCTCTCCATTTCTGTTCTTTACACGTGCTGCCCATACCATGCCCACATCCCCAGCCCAGAGTAGCTACCTGAGCAGCACTCACAGCCAGGAAGCCCTGCAGGCGGCACTGCCATCAACCAAGAGGCTGGCCGCCAGCCATATGGCTGCAGGGAGCCAGGGCTGCCAGGTCTCCCCCCCCCGCCAGCCTCAGGCTTAGACCTGGTTCAGCTGCCCCTGGGCCTCTGCTGGAGAGTGGACAGTACTGCCCGAGGGGCAGGGGATGGGGCACCAGCCCCCAGGCCTGCTGGGTGAGGATGGGCAATTGACCACTGTCCCCTGGTTCTTTGCAGTGGCGAGAACGCAGCCATACTACACTATGGACACGCTGCGGCACCCAACGACCGTACGATCCAGGATGGAGACATGTGGTGAGTGAGGCTGACTCCTGGTGCTGTCCCGGCCCTGCCTCTGCATGTAAATAGCCAAGCCAAGGCGGGACTCAACCTCAAGGTCAACCCGGGGTCTCTGGGTTCTTGTCCTGAGAAGGCTGAACAGCAGGGTCCCCAGGCCAGCTCTTGGCTCAGACTTCTCTGCCCAGGCCATCGGCCTGCGTGGTACCTTCTCCAGGACCAAAAGTCCACAAGGGAGCATAGACAGGAGTGCAAGACAGGGGCCCCTGTGGCTTCCATGGGGTCATGGGATGGTGGCTCTCTATGAAGGTCCTGGAATGCCCAGACTGTCCTCTCCAATCAGTAGGCACCACATGCACATCTCTGTGTCTCAGTGCAGAA